GGTAGTCACACCTAGCTCTGCTCAGAAGATAAGTTGCTATTTGGACCTACTTCTGCACAGCACAGGCTGAACAGAGTCAGGGTGGGATGCTCCCTTCCTCGAGTTCTGGTGAGCTTGTATCCACCCCCTGCAAGTATTCAGTTTCCTCTAACTGCATCATATATTGCATTTCTTTCAATATTGAGAAAACTGTACTTTATAGCTGTTTTTCCCCAAGGGTTCAGCTCCTCCAGAGAATACCATGAGAAACTGCACAACTTTCTAAATTTACTGTGTCTTTCGTTCACTCTTTTCAAAGAGATTCAATCTCTTCTTTTCTTAGGTACCGATTAGTCGGGCAGGAGTCTGCACAATGTGTCCTTCATAACAATGAAGTTTTTTGGGATAACGTTCCATACTGTGCCAGTAAGCAGATCTTGAATGTTTTATGTACATCTCTTCCTCGAACCTAGTACCATGTATCTGGTAGTTTGGGGAACGGCAGGTGTATACGCTCCCTTCTTGGCACCTAATACAAATTACATGTGTTTACCATCCGGCAACTGGTGCCAAATTGTTTATCCAAGAACTGTGCTTGATGCGGACTGGGATGCCTTCAGCCATGACTGCACATCCCAGATCTCACTTTTCAAAGGGGAAATACATTCCAAGAGTTTTGTTGGTGCTGTTTGGGGTTTGGGGGTTTTTTTGTGTGTGTCCTGTGGGATGGGCCTGACCATCAGCTGCTGGCAGTTTAGTTGGTTTGCTGCTCTAATAGTTCTTCTGGCCTCATCCTCATTAGCACAGCAAAGGTAGGAAATGCCAGCAGCAGCAGGTGATGGTCCCAGACTGCTGGTGAGACCATGTTTATTGCCTCCTGAAGGCCTCTGCTGTTGTGTCTCCTCTTGGACAATGGATGCTGTTTTGTCACTTTACCATTTATCCATTTGAAAAAACCTGGAAAGCATTAAGAATTTAAAGCCACAGTCAAGACTTTAGGTTGAGAGGATTGCTATAGGGCTGCTTCCCTGGTTTGGCTTTTTTGGTTGTTTGGTTGGTTGATTGATTGGGGTTTTTCTTTGTTTCCGTTTGTTTGGGGTTTTTTTTAGCAGCTAAACCTTAGTTTCATAGTCAATGGAAATGTGCTTGCATTTTCTTGTTGTTGCTTTGCCATGCAGGTATTCCCTGCTCACCACCTCCTGCGATCGAGAATGGGCAGTCCAGCGATGGGAACAGAGACTTCACCTTTGGCATGGCTGTAACCTACACCTGTAACAGGGGTTTTTCTCTTATTGGAGATCCCACAATTCACTGTACCGTAAATAAGGACCTTGAGGGAGTATGGAGTGGTCCACCCCCTGAATGTAAAGGTAAAAGCACTTTCTCCCCTTATTGACTTTGTTTCTCATCCCTCTCCTGATCTGTACTTTCCTGATGGGCTGCCAAATGTGAGAAGGTTGATTTGAATCTAAAAGGACTCCCCAAAAGCTTAATGCAGTGGTCACAGGCAGGGCTTGGTTTAACAGATTCTTCAGCCCACAGAAAGCCTCCCTCTCCCTGTCTATGCCCAGACCTTCCTGAAAATGAAAAATGAAGCTCTTGTGTGCAGTTTCTTAATGACATCTCTGCTCACAGAGTACTTGCCCCCCACTGGGGACCTGCCTCTCTCTGAGTGCAAGGACAGCAGTTCTTTTAGTAAGCTTCTCACATAATACCTCTGGAGTCACTGCAGGACTTTTTCTCCTTGTAATAAATATTCTTATTGTCTTGTCTTCACTTCCAGTGGTCAGATGTAAAAATCCAGAAGTGAAAAATGGGAAAAAATTATCTGGATTTGGCACTGAGTACACGTATAGACATACAGTGACCTTTGAGTGTTATCCTGGTTATTTACTGAATGGTAGTAGTACAGTTACTTGTGAAGCAGACAATAGCTGGAACCCGCCTGTGCCAACGTGTGAACCAGGTGAGTACAAAGACATTATTTCTGTAGTGATTGCACTGAAGTAGGTCTCAGAGCTGTTGGGCAGATCAGCTGCAGAACCCTGTGCGCTTGTAGCCTTGCCCTTGCAGAGCATGCTGGCTTGGGTCCTTGGCATGGCAGTCCAGGCCAGTTGCATATTTAGACCTGAAGCTGTTTATCTCTGGGGAGACCTTCTAACATTTTCCAGGCCCTAAAGGGGCTACAAGAAAGCTGGGGAGGGACGGACGCTTTGTACAAGGGCCTGTAGTGCCAGGACAAGGGGTAACGGGTTTAAATGGAAAGAGGAAGGTTGAGATGGGACATCAGGAAGGAATTCTTCCCACAGAGGGGGGGGAGGCACTGGGACAGGTTGCCCAGAGAAGCTGTGGATGCCCCACCCCTGGAAGTGTCCAAGGCCAGGCTGGATGAGGCTTGGAGCAACCTGGTCTAGTGGAAGGTGTCCCTGCCCATGGCAGGGGGGTTGGAACTGGATGATCTTTAAGGTCCCTTCCCACCCAAACCATTCCATGGTTCTGTGATTTGTGAACTGCAAATGATCCAAAGGTGCACCTAAGGGAGGGACAAAACTGCCCTGTCCTCCTGACAGGCTTGCTTCACCAGCTGCCAGACCTGTTGGGAATGTTTGGCTTCTGAGCTGAGCTGGTCCTGTGGGTCGGGGTGCTGGTCAGTGAAGGAGCATCTCTGATGCAGAGGTGCTACCCTGTCTCCATCTTTTCTCTGGTTAAGCAAATGGTGATATATGCTGCTGTTTGCTAAACGGGTTGGACGCCAAGTGTATTCCAGACAGGGACATGTAAACAGGTTAATGTCGTGTGCTCCAAAACATGCGGTTCAGGATTGTTACTGCAGACCTTTTGGGTGCTCTCGTGTAGACAACCTTGCTTTTGTCTCCATTTGTAGTCCACTGTGGTCCTGCCCCACGCTTCCCTTTTGCTGAGCCTGAAAGGGCTGTGGGTGAGAGCTCTCTTGCTGGAACGAAGCTGAACTATAGGTGTAAACCAGGCTACACAGCAGCAAGTGGCAAGTCCTCTGCTGTCACCTGTCTGAATGATGCATCTTGGTCTGCAGACCCTGACTTCTGTATACGTGAGTATCCCTGTCCTGACTGGCTGTACAAGTGACCTGTACACACTTGAGCTGTCACTCTGAAATTTGGGTAGTGCCCATCTCTGCCTCTGAAGTAATTCCCATGCTGATTTCTTGTCCTCTAGGACAGCAATGTACTCCTCTCACGATAAAGAATGGGGATGTGGTAGCAGACAATTTCCTGTTTGAGACAGTTGTGACGTTCACCTGTCATCCTGGGTGAGTGGATCGCTGCTTAAAAGGGATCAACTCGGCGGTCAGAAAACAGGGATCACAGGAAGTAACATCCACCACTCCCATCCCTCCCTGGTTTCCCAGTGCAAGTCTCCAGTGAAACCGTTTATTATGCCTGCAGTGAGATGAGCATGTGGCAACACGCGTGTGCTGGACAATGCCGTGAACAGCTTCCGTTTGGCTCTTGCCAGTGTCCTTTATGTGGCCAGATCCCATTTCATAGCGAAGGCAACTTCTGCTTAATAACTCGCCTGCATGCAGGGGTGGGAAGGCAAGGGACCAACCCTTTCTGGGTTGTCTTCTGGAAAGTACTAAACTTCTGTTTCCATAGGTATGAATTAAAGGAGTCATCTTCCGCCAAATGTGTGGTATCGGGAAATGGAGTTGATTGGGATACCCCACTTCCATACTGTGAAAGTAAGAGGGAAAAACTCTCCAAAGAGCCATTAAGATAATAGTTGGGGCTGCGCTGGTGTAGCTGCTTTGATGGGTTTGGGTTGCTCTTACTTGCACTTAATTCAATCAACTATAAAATTCACGGTTTTGATACTAACTCTTGCTGTGAGGCCTTAAGTGCAATATTCTTACGCAATTCAGAGATGATGCTGACAAAACAGGAGGAGTAAGGGAAGAGCAGAAATGATAGGAAGAAAGAAAAGCCACAGGAGGAAAGTTTTTCTTTCTCAAGTTACCAGGGAAAGATGAAGATAATTGGATGTTAGAATTTTGTCCACCCAATTTGGTGTAGGGGTGGAATCAGTTGTTATGAGGACAATGTATAGTGTTACGTGAAGCTAGAAATGGTTAAAATATCTCTTCTAGCCTGATGAGATGCTTCTGTGGCTTAACTTAATAGGGTGGGATCCTGGAGTTGTGGCCAACAGGCATTAACTGAGGTCCAGTACCAAGCAAGAAAGCCCAAAGCGTTTTCAGTTGCTGCTAGATGCGTGGTGCTTGGCTGGACCTCCTTGTGCCTGTGCACCTCCTCAGCTTTTTGGTTAGGAGTACTCAGACACTCTCCCTGCGATTCCTCTGCAGGACAGCACCCCAATGCGCTCTGTAAAGAGCCCCCTACAGTTGACAACGGGATGCACAATGGCACAAAGAGCACGGACTTTGTCCCTGGCTCCGTTGTAGTTTATAAATGCAAGGATGGCTTCACCCTCACTGGAGCAGCCTCTATTCACTGTAAAGTGGATCACCAACACCAGGGAGTCTGGAGCAAGCCTACTCCTGAATGCCAAAGTGATGTTCCTCCTGTAGGAGAGCACCCCAACGCTCTCTGTAAAGAGCCCCCCACGGTTGACAACGGGATGCACAATGGCACAAAGGGCACGGACTTTGTCCATGGCTCCGTTGTAGTTTATAAATGCAAAGATGGCTTCACCCTCACTGGAGTGGGTGTTCTTCGGTGTATTGCAAGAGATGAATACAGGGGAGTCTGGAGCAAGCCCCCTCCTGAATGCAGAGGTGATTATCGCCTGTGTCTGTCTTGCTGCCTCCTCTCTGTCTTCAAAATTCCTATTTTTCTCCTTCCTCTGTGAATCCTCAAATCAGATAATTCTGCTAAGGAATAAGCTTTCGATGCTTCCTGAAAGAGCTTCAGTTAAATTCTTGTGCCAAAAGAGCACAGTTAGGTTGCAGTGTGGAAGTGCAGGCTAGTGGAAATATGTCCTGGTAAATACATCTGGGTTTTAACAGATAAACGTCTGTGGAGTTGGGCTGTGCAGGGGTCCTGTGTGTTGCCTGAATTGTCTTCCATGTGCATTGGCTCTGATTTGAGATGCTGCATGTTGTGTAGTTTGATGAATTACCGTGCTGAATGGGTGCTGAGTTTCACATTTTGGCTTGTTTCCTTTCCAGGTGGAGCAAACATGATCATTGTTGGTGAGTAACAAATATTCCTGAACCCCTGTACCATGTTCTTGCCTGTCTTTATTATTCTCCCATGTGTTCTGCTTAAAATAGGGTTAAAAGCCTTCTGTTACTGTCTGTTGTCATATTTATATTGCTACTTTAAGATCATACTGTGAAAAGGGTGGGGAGAAGTACAGGGGACCCGAGAGGGAATACAATATATCTGGAATAAGATAGTTGGATATGTTTGGAGTGAAAACTGAAGCTTTTTACTTGTCTCTTGCAGGAATCTTCCCCCTCCTCCTGGCAATGCTGATTATGAACATCTAGATTAGGGATGTCTGGAACAGGCACAGCAGGGAGGTAGCTGTGGCTGTGTTGGACTTGATCATGATGATCCCAGTGCTCTGCTTTTCCCTCCTGTGAAATTGGCCTTGAAGCAACAACCAACAGACCTTGGATGATGAAGCCCAGACGCTCCCTGCCACTGCCCGGGCAGTGCTTTGGCTGCAGCTGCACGGGGGCCGGGTGTCTCTGCCCCCCTGGAGACAACACTGCTCAGAAATCAAGCGCAGTTATATCCCTAAGTTGAGTTGTAACGATGCCAAAGATCTCCATGCTGCAATAGAGCAGGCTTGGGAAAATCAAATGCTTTGCGTACCTCCTCATGTTCAGTTTTTCAGCCCCACGTAGGGGCTGAGAAAAGTGCTGCTCCTGCCTAAAGGATTAATAGTGCATGTCTTCATGTGAGTGATACATGCTTTAAAAAACGGTTTGTTGCCAATAGGATGCATAAGGTGGGTGTTGAGTACTGAAAGCACTGAAAATGTTCATATAAAAGCACGGTTGTAGCTGTTAATTCAAGGTGAATCTGAACCGTTGTGCAAGCAGCAATCCTTAGAGATCAGTAATTGTACCACAGAGAAAAGGGTTGCCCTGGCACCCTCTGCATCACGTCCAGGCTTTTCCCTGAGCACCTTGCACAAACACCCTTCCCCTCTCTGCAGTAACTGAGCGCTGAAGCTTTGGGCAGCTGAGAGCCCTGAGAGGAAGCAGCAGGGTGAGGGCTCGGGGGCAGCCAAGCTCATCTGCGGGTAGGAGGTATCCGGGCTGAATGCAGAACTTGCAGGTGTCTTGGCAGATGCTACCAAACATCAGAAAGTTGCTGCATGTGAACCTTTTCACTTTCTGCCGCCTTCGCGTGCCGCGTTTTTCACGAGCCGCCTTCTGGGGCATCTCTCTGAATTTGCACTATAAAGGCTATCTCAGGGAAAGCAGGTTTTTGGCACCTTGCTCTGCTCGAGGGCAGCTGCGTGGGGCGACTCTTGCTCCAACACTGTACCCGAAGTAGGCGCAGACGCGCATCAAGCCAAAGCCTTCCTGACTCCTCTGTGGGGAACAGGACACAAACCCAACGTTCTTTATGCACTTTGTTTTTCTCCTGCCTGACCTGACCTAGTTTGTCGCTGTGTTGAGGACAGGTTTGTGAGGGTGGATGGAGGCGAGTGAGGCAGCGTGCTGCTCCCAGCTCCAGTCAGGCTTCGGGGACAGCTCAGGTGATGGGACCTCACTCACCTGGTCTAAACCAGACACAGGTGAAAGTCCCTTTGGTTTGTTTGGCTGGTAAGAAGGCCAGTTGTGTTGTTGTCCTTCCCTGGTCTTAATTCAGTCTTGCTAAATAATCATTCAATAAGCTGAAGAGGTATGTAGTATCTCATAAAATGAAGTTAAGGTTTGAAGGCTTTCTGGAATCTTATTTATAAGGGATGCAAAACTGACAAGATGGAAGTGGAACTGACAAGTGGAATTCAGCCATTGCCTGAATCCAGTGTGAGACAGTGGAACCTTGGGCTGCTGGTAAAGCAAGATTTTGAGATTCAGGTTTTGCCTGGTGCAGAGGTAGATGACCCTCTATGAGCTTCTCATGATGCAGCTGGGAACAGGAAGTATTTGCAATGTGTCTACTCATACTTTTTGTTTCTGCATTTTCGTCAGCGCTTTCCTGTTAACAGGAACATGCATCTAATTAGACAGAAAAACCACAAATAGCCATCTTCATCATCACATTCATCTTGTTCTAAATAGACCCACAAAGTTCTCCCTTCCCAGCAGAGCACTACCCTGCTCAGCTGTCTTTGGAGCACCGCAAGATACTGTTTTCAGAAGCTGGTCTTGCTAAACAAGCACTTTGCATCGTTGGTTATTTTTATGTCTCTCTTACCATAAGCCATGTGAGTAATTAGATGAACTAAACACCGACGTAAAGCCTCGTAGCTTAGCATTGTGTTCTGTTCTGGGATTTTAATCCCAGCACAATTTTTCCTCCTGCATAGTCCAGAGTGGTTTTTCCAAATGATTTAACTCCTGGTTTGGGGATCAGCTTAAAATTATCTCCCCCCATCAAATGGAAGGAACTGTGAATGCGTGTGATCAACAAAATTTACTGCTGAAGGTTTTATCTCCTGTGTTTGTTATAGTGTTATGTGCAGCTTTACTTTATGTACAAAGGGCAACCAATTAGGTGCAATTGTAGAGTATACATGTTGGATTTGTAAATGCTGGAATCTCTCTGTCAATAAAAGGGATAAAAAGATGTGAGTAGTGCACATCTTGCTGCTTGTTTTGGGCTTGAAGCATCCTCCGCTATGTGAGGTGAGGAGCTGGAGGTTGCTGCAGCTGTTCCTACATCGAAAAGCCCTGTCCCTGGATTTTTATTCTTCCATCCAGTGGTGAGGAATGATGTCAGCTTGGATGAGCCTGAGAGCAGCCAGGGTTGGGAGGATTTGGGTCCACAGGCACAGCATGGGGTTTGGGACTGGGCTGCATGCTGTGCCTCCTGGCCTGAGCACCCAAGGCCCTGAGAGACAGATGTGTCCCCAGCTGCTGCTGGCTCTGCGTGTGTGGGAGGAGGGAATATCCCGACTACCCCTCCTGTATCCGGGCAGGCCAGCTATGCCCCTTCAGCTGGTTCCTTGGAAGAGCTGCTGTCACTGCCTGGGTACACTGGGCAGAGCCTGGACCTCTTCCCCTAACCGAGGATGCTCTCCACCAAGGGCGCAGTTTGGCTAACAGCACCTCGGTGCCTGCACCCACGTTTCTTTCACAGATGCCCCTGAACCATGCAGTGGGTCCCAGGGGCTCATCCTCCCCTGTCAAAAATAGCAGCCGAAGCAGGGTGTGGGACCTGCAGCCTCTCCGGAGGTGGTTGTTGCACCCACCCTGTACCGGGGAGCCCACAGGTTCCTGTCCCGTGGCCCTGGGAAGCCCCACAGCTGCGGCTCCTTCCGCATGAGGGGGTGTGGTGGGGGGAACTGGAGTGCCCATATCTTCCCGCAGCCCCCCAGGAGCCACAGTCTGCACTGGGGACCAGAGCATGGTGCTCGCCTTCACCCTCCACCTCCTGGGCAGCTCTGCATTGCTCCTGGCCACCGTGGCTGGGGCTCAAGGTAAGGGAGATTGACAGGTCTGCTCCTCTGGGGCCTTCCTCCTGCAGCCCTTCTCTTCCTCATCACTGCTCCTTTCCCCTCTGAGCCTTTTGCTGTTCCCTGAGGAGGCAGATAGGAGCCCTGTGCTAACAAAAGAGATCCTCTGGGATAGCCCCGAGGACACCCTGTGCCCTTCAGTGCCAGAGCAAGGGAGTTATAACCCTGCTACGGGACCTGTGGAGAGTCTTTCACAACCTGCCCAGCTTCTCGTAACAAGGGGCCTGACCTACGTGTTTAAACTGGCAAAGTAAAGCTGGTTACGGACATAGCATCTTACAGCAGTGAGACGAGGACTTTGTTCCAATAACAAATCGTGTTTGAGCTCTGTCAAGTTGAAACTTGCTGTGATAAACGGAAATGTGTTGGGATGAGGAAGGGCAAACAAGACAGTGCTGTTTGGTATGTTGGATCTGAAAGGCTGGCAGGTAGCCCGAGGTGCCCTCTTGTTTGGGTCAGATCAGCCAAAATCTACAGGAACTCAGATCCACCACTGCAGTTTGTCCCCTCCCAGCTTGTAACCATAGGTGTTGTGCCCTGGCTGCCCTGGCAAGGTTTGAGAAGTGATTTGGTACTGTAGGAGAAGACTATAGCCTATATCCTCAATCTGTAGCCTATATCCTCAACCATGTTAATTATTCACTGGCACCTTGAGAGACCAAAGGCTGACCCTCCTGCTTTAGCCAGCTCAGTAGCAGGCTGGGAGTCAAGCACCCAAGGCTGAAAAGGGTTGGTTTATGTTTAAAATAATTTTTTAAAAAAGGATTACCACTAAGTTAACAACTTGTAAGAAAGCTGAGTCCTGTTTTTTTGTCATCCTTGGGTTTCTGTATGTTCAGTTGGTGTATGTGCATTCGCTTCACCAGCCTTGTGGGAGAAGCTCTCATTGCTCGCGTGTGCTGCTTGGTGCCAGAGAGCTGCGGCTCTCCAGCAAAGCCAAATTCAGGGCTGTGCAGAGGGGTGCCAAGGGCACAGCGGAGAGGGGCTGCACCTGAACAGCTCAGAGGGACGGAGCTGTGGCCCTTTATCAGTAACCCGAAGGATATTATCAGCGAGAGGCACTTCTTTTACCTCCTTTCTACATTCCCACACCTAGGGCAAATATTTGCCAAGGGAACAAAAAGCTGCTTCTCTGTGGTTTCAGTTCTGGATGTCTGCTGGCCCCTCTGTGTGTCTGCCTCTCTGTCTCTCTCTCTCCAGGCATTCAATACAAACACTCCCTGGCAGCACAGCAGCACATTCATGGGCTGGTCCCTTGTAGGGTGCAGCAGACACTTCACCCCCGCTGGCGTGGGTCCACCCCGGCGCATGACATGGCACCCCAGCCCAGGCTGGGTACTCCCTGCCCAGCTCTGTTGCACGGCTGCATGCCCCTGGTAGCACAGATCCCTGGACTGCAGTTAGGTTGGCCCTGCACAGTCCTGCCAATGCTTTCCTGGGTCAGATTGGACCCAGGTGATGTGCTCCCCAGCTCATGGGTTAGAAGCATGCAGAAAGGCCATGAAAGGCTCCTGACCTTACCAGGAGATTGATGTGAAATCCTGGACCCCCAGTTCTGGCCAGCTGAGGAAGCAGTAGGTTCCCCCAGCAGCACAGGGAGGAGTCCTGCAGCCCCAGGGGCACCTGCCCCGGCTGCAGCCTCTGCCGTATCCCATTGGGATCAGCAGGCTGTGTGGACACCATCAACAGGAGAACAATCATAGGCAGGAACACCTTGAGAGCTGTGGGGGTAAACATTCTATTTTCTTCCTTTTTCCAGCTACCCAATGCCCTTTCCCACGCATCCAGTATGGGAGGAGAGTATCCATCGCTCGCTATTTCTACAGGACGGGGGACTCCGTAAGCTTC